ACCCTCGTCCACAAAGCACAAATAGTGGCAAATAATTACCTGTGTGGTTCAGGCAAAGCAGCATAAAGCCAAGTTAAAGCAAAGGTTGTACCTGTCTGCACCATCTGAAGGAAAAGGAGGACAATGGGAAGAAGCCACACTGTTCCGCGATGACCTGCCTTTGCCATCCTCCAAGCTCACGGCGCGTCTCCCACCAGTTTCTCTGCAGGACTCTGGGGCAGCTGCTAAATGAGAAACTCTACAGTGCAAAGGTCACTAACTGATGAGAAAACAAAATCTCTAAGAGCAAAGCTTGGGCTCAATGTCAGCACAGGACAATGTTAAAACACAAAAAGCCCTTGTGCTGCAGCAATGCCACACCGATAGCTTGCAGGTGCCTCATGTCGGCAAGGCCCCACTCTCCTGCATGGGCAGCACAGAGCTGGGTTTGTCAGCAAGGCTGTGACACCCGTGTATTTCAGACTCCTCAGCAAGAGGGAATCCATAAACCAAGGCAGGTTTTGCCTCCGCATCATAACATGTGGTTGCATGGTTAAACTTGGTTATGCTACCGGATCTCCAGATACCAGACTGCCACTTGGTGATTTCCTCTGCAGGACCATGGTCTATTGCTGTGTCCTTTCTCCCTGTCTGCTGCAGGTGGCTCTACATCTTCAGGAAATATGGATGCAGCCTCCCTAAAAGAGCTTTACTAGCCAGGCAGCAAGGAGCTAAAGTGATTTCTCTGTTGCCCATGCCCCAAGGAAGGCAGAACAACCAGAGGCAGAACTTCATGCCTCCTGCAAGCTGGGCAGAAGCAGGAAAGTGTCTCAGAAGTGAGGAGTAGCTCAGGGCACCAAATTTGCAGAGCTTAGGAAGCGTATTGCAAAGATGTTGCCTTCCAGCTCTGGTGGTGCCTTAGGAAGCAAGTAAAACATGGAGCTAATCCAAACAAGAAAAAAACAGAGGGAAAATTCAGGCTTTTTTTCTGGGCTAAACCTATAAGATATCACACAAGGTTTTGGTATCTTTTATTCCAAACCACTGTAATGTGAAGTGCTTTAGGTAGAGTGAGATTGATTGTCATGCTGGTAGGTGAAGCCTTTGAATCCAGTGGAGCTAGTAAGCAGGTATCTTGTACAGATGCAGCAGGCTGGATGGGACCTCTGCGACACACAGAATCCAGTCTCTGCCGCAAGCACCAGGACAGGTCATACTTTCACAAATTCATCAATTTCCACTTCATTCTGGATGGAGGTTTTTTTTCGGGGGGGGGGGGGGTTGGTGTACCATTCCATGGGCACAGCTGTTGACAGGGCCTTGTGGTCTGGGGCCCTGCCTATAGAAGACAAACCTGTCAGGGGAGTCACCTGTGCCAGTAAAGAGGAAGGAAATCCTTGCCTGCTATTACTGTGCTAGTGCAGGTCTCAGCGGCATGACCCCAACAGTGACCCTTTGCTTGTGTTGCTCACCTGGAAGCACAGAAAACGGGCTGGCAAGACCTCACTGAGCCAACAAGGGATCAAGTTTAGCTCCATTGTTCTTGGCATGTTGGCCAAGGCTCCAGCGAAGGAGCCTTCTGGGAAATTGCTTCCAGTCGGACACCGCACCTGCAGGTGTTTTCCTGCCATACTGTAGGATCCCGTAACAAAGCCCAGCTCGTCCACCTTTGTTCCCTAGGGCAGCCCCCATCATGCTGCATGCCTGACACCTGCCCATCTCTCCCGCTCTGAAAGACTACCAGCACTGGAGAATTCAGGGCCCCCGACAAAGTCTATTAGAGGGCTTTTCTAGTCACAGTGATAAGTTTTTCCCTGGGATCTCCCTGAACCTTTCTCGCTGCAACTGAGATGTGCGCTATCTTTTTATCTTCACCGCAGACATGAAGATGTGATTAGTCCCTACGTCTCTGCAGCAGCCTTTTTCACACACGAAGGCTAGTGCTATGTTTCTCCTCAGGCCTTCTCTATTTTAGTCTAAAGAATCCTCATTTTTTCAAAGCCCAGTGTCTCGCGCTCATGCGTGTCTTGCTCAGATACATCATCTTGGACCAGGCCTGAGCAATGTCCTACATTTTTCTTCTTCATATTAGTCCTTTCCAAAGACTCAAAATGATTGCACTCTTTACTTACCGCCCTTCCTTTCTTCCTTTTCTTCTCAGGACTGGCTTTTCCTTGAAGGCTGAGTAAGCCTGAGCACTAGAGGGTGGGTTAGAGCTTCTCCTTCCATCATCTTTGGTAAATGTCAGCTCTTGCCTAAGCCAGCAGTGTTTGCTTGCCATGAGGCGTTCTTGTATTCTATAACGAACCACTTTACACAGCAGTTGTGTGCTGTACCTCTTGCCTGGATTTTACAATCTGTATGATGATTTTACAATCACTATGTGAAACTGCACCAAAATAATGAGTCTAAATTAAAAAGTGTGCTTTTATTCTTTCTTTTCTTGCAGGCCCTAGAGTTCGTTATGGCCTTTGGTAGGAGGCCAAGATGGAAGCAGCTGTTTCACTCATGTCCTCTCCGCACGACAGAGACACTGTTACAGAACGAGGAATGAATATGAAGCCCCTGAGCCTTGGGCACCATGGCACAGGATGAAAGGCTCTCTAGGAACCAGTTTCATTTGTAAAAGACAAATAAACTCTGATTGCAAAGCCTAAGGACAAAGTCTCTCATACTCTGCAGAATAATGACACTTCTAAGCCCTGTTATGTTGCACACAAACATGGACTTTCATCACTCTCTTGCATGCTCATCTGCTAAACCAGCCGTGCCTGCTCTCAAGGTGGCTTGACAAAGACGTATATACACCCCAGCTAGTAAAACCCAGCTACTGCCACCATTGCCAGAGGGATGTCCTCCTCTCAGCCACCTCACCACCTTACATAGTCCAGCCTGAGTTTCACTTCAGTCCTCAGGCTTCACTGAAGTAGAAGAATGCCCTTAGCGTGAGTACATAAAGAGGATTTGGGTAGCACCTAGGCTTGAGGTTGTCCCTTTGAAGAAGGATGTTTCACCCTGATGGAGCACAGGTCAGGTGAAAAGTGAACGTGGGACAAGGGATTAGAAGGTACAAACAGGAATCCAGCGGACAGAAGAAGTCAGTGGACAAACACTGCTGAACAAATATTGAAGTAAGCCCGCTGAGGGTTTATACAGGTGGAGACCATCAAGATGGGGTGGCTGACCTGCTGTCCTTCCTGCCTGCACTTACTGCTGACTGCAGCAATACCGTGCTGCTGTGCAGAGTTGCATTTCTAGTTTTTCAACCTGGTTTGCTCACCTATAGCACCTGCTATATGAAACTAGCCAGTACCAGCTCAAACCCCAAGAGGTAAGTAGCAGGTGTCTGGTGAAGTTCAGTGTACCTCAGACAACAGGGGAGTGTAACAGATTGGAGGAGCCTTGGAAAGGCCATCAGGAAGGTTAGGGTCCTAGAGCGCATGATGTACAATAAGGGGCTGAGGGGTCTGGGTTTGTTCAGCCAGGGAGAGCTGGGGGATCTAACTGGTCTTCCACTGCCTAAATGGGGATTACAGCAAAGACAGGGCCAACCGTTTCCCAGAGGTGCCCACAGAAAGAAGATGAGGCAGCAGTCAGAGGTTGCAACAAGGAAAATTCCAATTGGACCTGAGAAATTCTAGCCATGAGAGTGCTAAAGGAACAAGTTGCCCAGAGAGTAAAAATATCTCTGCCTCTGAAGCACAACCTGCTCTTATTTTGATATTAGTCCTGCTTTGAGCATGGGGTTGGACCAGATCACTTTCATCTGTCCCTTCCATTGTAAATTCTTCCATGATTTCTGTAACTAGGACTGAAGCTGAGAAGGTTTAAAGAAGAATATATGGAGTAACACTACTCTACATACAAAAAACCATCAGAGTACCAAACTTCTGCCTGGAAACTTTACAGCACAGATCAGATCATAGTACCTGAAGAGACTATGTGTGGGAAATCACTGGATGAGTTTGCCTCTTTCTAAGAAAATTAGTATCTTGATATCTAACTTGCCATTTATGAACCTCTAGGCCAGTGAAAGTCATTTAATTACCACCCTCCGTTCTCTACCTCCTCATCAGCCTTGACATAAGGCAGGTGAAATGTGTCACATGTATTTGTTTAGGGACATTCACTCTTTTTTCACTCTCAAATGAGGTTTTATCTTCATACATTTGTAAGCCGACTGGAGGGAATAAATTAAAAAAAGAACAAAAAAGAAAGAATTTTTTATTTCAAATGCTGGTGTACATCAATATTGCACCTTACAGAAACACCCAGAACAAGTACACATGCAAGGAGCTTTCTGATCCTCAGCCATACACAATCCAGAACATGATGCAGAAACCAGTGAACATACACATTATATTTTTTTTCTGATGAGCAGAACAGAAGTATTCAAATTAAACTGAAGTACAATCCATATGAAGCAAACCTCCATTTTAATTAGCTGCTGTGACCTAAGCAGGCAATTTTGTAGAATATGTGGTTATTTAGCATCGCATGTAGAATACTTACTTGTGTCTCAGCTTTTATCAGGCAAGCTTCCCTGCTCACTTAATCTTCTAAATACATCCAAAGGTAGAAGCTGAACAGCTCTACTAATAACAGACTCCCTACTGAGCCAGCTGGCTGCAATATGAGGATTAACTGAAGTCCTGTCCTTCCCACTTTCATCATTATTAGTGGAGGTTCATAATATGTTCAGGAACCCCTGGTGGAAGCACTTGGGCGAACAGACAGGAACCAAAATGGCAATATAAAAATAACCAAACAAGCAAACAAAAGACCCCACTGAGCAGCCATTTTGTTCGGGGAAAGCCCCTCATTGTACAAATTGAAAACAACACCAACCGTCCGCACATACATACTTAAAGCCAGGAATAGAACAAAAAGAAGCAGCACCATGACTTTAAATAATCAGCTCTCAGAACAAGTTTAGCAGATGTGGCTAAAAAAAAAAGAATAAAGTTTCCATTACAGAAACTGCACCTTGTTAGCTAACAGAAGGATCGAGAGCCATACCACTACAAATTTTGTCTCATGGCCATTCTTACCCAGCGTAAGAACCTGGACAGTTTGGTATAGACACCGTATTTGCCTTTCTTTGCACATCCTTCTCCCCAGCTAACAATTCCAGTAACAAAGTAAGTATCCTTATATCTGGTTACATGGGGGCCTCCACTGTCTCCTTGACAAGCATCTTTTTGCTCTGTTTCATAACCAGCACAGAACATGTTTTCTGTTATTGCAAAGTTAGTGGATTGCTTGCAAGTGTTCCTATCAACATAGGGGACTTCAAGCACTTTCAGTTTTTTGGATAGTCGTCCACCTTCAAATTCACGCCCAAAGCCACTAACCATCCCAGATCTTTGGTTCATCAGAACTTCGTTAGCAAAATCTGCTTCTGGGAGGCATGCTGCAATAATGTACTGAGAAAACGTTATAGGTTCCTTCAGCTTTATTAAGGCTATGTCATTATCGTACGTCTCAGCAATGTATTTAGAGTGAACAAGTATTTTGTCCACGGTATGCATCGTTTCAGACTGTTCTTTCTTTTCTCTGTCCACTTCACCTGTACAAGATTATTAAAAGGGTCATTAATATGGTGACAGTATAAGACAGTAAGAACAACCTTGATAAAGGAGGAGAGTAGCATACACATTCCTAACACTTTGCCTAAGACTTTATACCATACAAGTAAACTGTAAAGATGTACCACAATATTTATTAGCAGGACCTGGATCCATTTCAGCCCCGAGATTTTCTCTATGGAGATTTTTGTACCAGTTTACATATAGGCATAAACTGATCCAGCTAAACTAATGCAACTTTGGGTAGAAGCTCTTACAGGAGCTTGAGCCTGGCTTATATCAGGGAAGAGAAACCGGTCTCGGTCGAGACTAAAACAGTGCAAATATAAAGTTGTGTTGATCTAGTATCATGCCTCAGAAGTGAAGCAGTCATAACATGAGTTTGTTTCTTCTTCCTCTAGTCAATGTGTCATAGCTTTCCTGAGTGTTCCTGCAGAAACAAGTCTGTACGCTTCAGGTGTGCCAGGAACGATAAGCTTTCTGAAGAAGCACTACTCTGATGAGCACAGTGCTAGCCAGCACTTCTAGAACATTTGTTCTTAATAACTTCCAACTAGCTGGCAAAGAAGAAAGGAGTGCAAAGAAATATCGCCTTCCACATCAGCTGCCCCTGTTATTACAAAGCAGGATTCCCACAATAGCAAGAAATTATAAAAAGCAAAATAACAACAACAAAGTAACAAACCGTAACAAATAAAGTAATAGGAGAACATCTCACATGGGATTTACTGCACAGATGACTAGTCTGCAACACATGCTCAAACATCACAGGAGTAAAATAAATAACCACTTACCAACAACAACTTTGATTTCTTTAGATTGGTTCATGCAATGAGCTGCAGTAAGTATAAAATTTTCATTCAAAATAGTTCCACCACAAAACTCTTCCCCTGCCTCGTTTAACAGAACAGCCTGCGAAAGAAAAGAGGTAAGTGCAGAATTAAGAGGAGAACATATACTTATTACTACAACATGTACTACTCTGCAGGTGTCTCCTAATATTGCATACACACGTGCATATGCTAGAGATTGGCATGTACAGGTACAGAGTCGCAACTGTCTTTATGTGATGTAGATGTTTGGCTTCCATGTCACCTCGCTCACAGTGCTTAGTAAGGTCTTTTAGGAACACGACACTGACTGACTGAGCAGGGAGAGTGCAGCCCCCAAATCACCTCATCCCTTGGACTTACCACCCCAAAGAATTCCTGTCCAAGTTCTGTTCCCATTTGACTGTTCTGTTCCCCTTAGTGTCCCTAAGACAGGAACTCATTTTGGCTGGTCGAAACAAAGGAGGACAACTTAGATATGAAGGAGTATTTGTGAAGCAAATGCATGCTTTACCTGACATGCTCTCGGGTATGCTACATAAATGGACTGCCATCAGACAGAGCTGGAATCAGACCTGCAAAAATCACACTGGTAGGCCAGTGTGAGTCAAAAGCTCTCTCTGGTGATGGGTTAAGCAGCACCATCTAGAACTGCACAAAGCCTTTCCTTTTGACATTTTAAGGCTGCAGTTTGCAGAACAACACATCTAAGTCCTAGCTTCACGCAGTTCAGCTACCTCCAGCTACAAATGCCTTACTACATGGGTAACATTCAGAAGGCAACCAGGTTAAATGAATGACTGCACACTTTCCCTCAGAAACATGTTCTGCTTACATGCAGAGCACAAACACCAGATTTACCTGCCACGGACATTCGCCAAGACGACACTCATCACCACCTACTATCCTGGTAATGACATATGGAGTCTTGCTACTTGTTTCATTGCCAGGACGGAGAGTTGGGCTTTCTGCGGTAGTACCGATGTCCTCCTCCAAACTTGTTCCATTGGGGCGGGGGCCATCTTGATCAGTAGTTATGTTGCTATTCTCAGCGGGTAAAATAATCGACCTTTTTTTTCTTTTCACAAAAACTTTTCCACAAGGATACTTTACTGTAAAGACAAGAATGGTAAAGTTAGAGACAGACAGAAACATCAGCACAAGAGGAAACTCCTTGACAACACCGTCTCACAACAAAGCAGTTAATGCAGCTGTCCTGTTTTCAAAACACTAGCAAAACCTTGGCAGATGCAACAAAGGAGGAAGACCAGATGGTTTGAAAAATGAAAGCCATTTTGTAGTCCTAAAACTTGTCCATAGGTTCAGTTTCCAGACAGTTTTTTCAAAGTATTTAAAATTTAAAACATTATCTTAAATTGTTTACATTGCTATATTCATGTACTTGCTCTTACTAAAACCCTCTTAATTACGAAACGGAGTCAAGTGCTGTATTTTAGGAATAATATGGCTCATGATAGCAATTTATTATTAGATATAAAGGATATAAAAAGCAACATAATGAGTATATGGTTGACTTATTCCTCCCCCCAGGCTTGTTGAAATACAACAGAAATGTACAAATGTAAATAGCATTAAGTGCAATTATTTAATATCATCGGCTACTATTTGATTAGGTTAACTGAAATCTAAAATAGAAAAGTTTTTGCGATCTGCTGTTTTATATGGAGTATAAGTATTTAAGTAAATGAGATATAACTGCAATCACTTTTCTCCTGTCAACAGCATAGTTTACTGGGGCAATTCTGTGAGAGGCACCTTGCAAAGGGTTCCAAATCAGCTAGGTTTTGATAAGTTCATCACATCACCTCACACATGGAAGCCTTTGGAAATATAAATCAGTTGGCCTCAGTGTTAAATCTATGTCATATACAATCCTGATGGTTCAGAAGACATTCTTTAACTGTGAAACAAGTCTCACCACCATTGCTATTAGTTTATTACGTGTCTTCATACCTGACGAAACACAGCGTTTGCCATCCTCTGCTAGAACATACCCTTTTGCACAGGAACACAAAACATCCTTCTGTACACTTTTTTTGACGCTGCAGAACTGCTCACAGTCACCATTGTTTATTTTGCAGTACTTTGGTATGACTATAAAAGAGGTAAGTTTGGAGAAAAACAGTAAGTAAACACTGACTTCACAGAAGATCTCAAAGTTCACCAAATTAAACTCCACTCTTTGAACAGGATTTGTGTCTCCACCCATAAAACACCTGAAGCACATCTTAGTAACAACACGAGTGGTTAACATTAGCTTATGCCGTACAAAGCAGTCACATTCACCACATGAAACATGCTTGGCAAGTCCAAGTGGGCCCAGTGGCCATGTCATGGTGAGCTTAAAAAAGCAGAACAAAATGAGAGTGGAAGAATGGATAAAACTCTTAACAGAGAAGTCCAGATTTTGGTAAATGCTCACACGATTCCTCCCTCCTGCCTTAAAAAACTCAACTCCTCATCACTCCCCTCAGTCCCGTGTGTGAACTTCAGTTCCACACCCCCTTACTCTGGGCTCACCACTCTTACTTCTGGGCTACCGATACACGGTCCAATGACATGATTAGGGTAGTAGCTGTATGCCACAGAAATTGGACTCAAGAAGGATTTAAAAAAAATTATTCTTTGCAAGGGTGAAAAAGTCTGTATTGTCTACTGAAATCTGCTTGCTTTGGTCCTTCACTGCTGTGAGCTGAGCAAGGTGGCTGTACTTCTGTACTTGGAGTAAAGGCTCTTTGACATCACTTGTAAGAATCCTATGCTGCTTAGTTTTACCACCATGTTTTGGGGATTCAAGCTCATGTAAAAGAGTCACTATCATAATTAAGAGGGCTTTCTTTCGAGTAAGTGTAACTTCAGAGCATTCACAGTTGGACAGGGCTCTGACCAACCTGAGCTAGTTGAAGATGGCCTGCTCATTGCAGGGGAATTGAACTAGATGACCTTTAAAGGTCCCTTCCAAACCAAACTACTCTATGATTCTATGGTTTGAACACTACCCAGCTGTAGAGCCACCAGGGCTTTGTGTTTCTGGCACTGTCCTCCAACTCACTGCTGACTGCCACACTATTCTATGCATTTTCCCAATAATGCTCATTAAGAAAAGAGTTAAGTCTCTATGCTTCAGCTCCCTAGGAAATTCACTGCCATAGTTCTCCAAAGCAGAAACCTACCAAATTCACAGTTCTTGCCTTGATAACCATCCAGGCATGAGCAAGTGTAGGAACCAATTCCATCTTTACAATGTCCACCATAGTGACAAGGATTTGAGCTGCACTGGTTCCCATCTACAAAAACAAACAAACAAAAAATTATTGTAAGAGTGTAGGCATTTTCAGTGAACTCTGAAGGGGTGTTAGTTTTAATAAGCAATCTTTCATCTTTCCTTTTAAAACATATGTCCTGTGAGTTGCCACATTCCAGATGAAACAAAGAGTGTAATTGCAATCATTCCAAACCAGCAATGATTCACACACATATCCTCAGTTTTGCAATCTGTTTTTGGTGGCTACTCTATGGCAGTGCATAGACAAGCCTTTTTTTGTAGGAAGGTAAAGTAACACATCGTGGTCAGAGTATACATCATTTACAGTGAAGGCTGTAAAAGCAGACAGGACATTTCTACATTGCAACTACTGTCTGAAGATACTAGCCTTTTGGCCTCTTGCATTTCTCTACAAATTCTGCATAATAATGGCAACTCAACTTTTATTTCTTTAAAGGTCATCTTGTCTCTTGTGCATGTCTTTTGCCTGCAGTACCATTCATTTAAAGAAGCAGACACCAGCATATTAATCAGAAGATAAACAAAACAAAACAAAAATGCTTTACAAAGCCCTGCTAAATTCATGCATGCAAGTCAAATTCCTGTCTTAAGCTGCTTACAGTACCAAAATTGTCCTATTGTATCCGTTGAGGTATGAGCTTGAGCTTTAAAAAATTAGCTCTTACCTCATGCTCCCTACATCTATGCTGGGAACCCCCACATTTGAGTCTTTCCTCCTTTCTGTGACCTGGACACAACTGGCTGACCTGACTCCAGGGCTCCAGCCACATGCATCTCACAAACTCAGTTACACACAGGACAGCGAGGCTGCACTGCATTTGGAGTCACGTTCCACATAGCAGCCCTTTCTCCAAAGGTATCTCACTCCTGCACTGATGCTCGTTGCCACGGTCTCTCCCATCTAGTGACCTGCTGTAACAACTGTGTTCCCCCATCACATGACCCTGCTGGGCTCTTCTGCACCGCTCGATAAGAAAAGGAGGATTTTTCGGAGAAGTGACACTTCTGTAATAATTCGTTGCTTTAGGTAACACGTTCCTTCAAATTTCTGTGTTTTACCACCCGTAGTGCCCCTGTTTGGAGCATCTGGAAGAACAGCAATGCCAACAAAGACAAGATGCAAGAAGCTGCTCATCCTAAGGATCCAGCCTGCATGGTGGCTCTGGCCTGCAACCTCATCTGCTGCAGCTTTCTCTGCCACGGGGTACATCTGCTGGGCTTTGTGTACTGTCCTCACACCTCAACATCTCTTCTGTACCCGCATATGGCCAAAACCAGGAGTGTTCCAAACGCTCCATCTATGTGGTCCACCACAGAGGCGCTGAAGACTGATGTCCATCCTCAACAGAGGGAAGGCGAGACCACCAGTTACCAGAAGAAAGGCAGACTTGAGTCCTGCAGCACAGCTCCTGGTTTCTTCCTTCCCTGCAGTGCCAGAGCACTCCGTTCTGTAGTGGTCTTAGCTAAGCAGCATCCTACTGTTAGAAACTGTACTTGTTTACTTTTTCCCCACAATGTAGTTGCTGCTGTGGTAATGAGTTTTATATCAATATTGCACAAAAGCATTGCAGAATCCCCTACTGAAAAAGGAAGCTAGAATGAATTGTTCTAGTTACTCGGCTGAGGGTAGCTGTGGTTTTCAATACTTCTGAACACCCATAAAGCATTCGTGGACTGTGGTTTAAAATGTATGAAATTGGCATTTCCGCTAAGAGCACTGGCACTGATGTTCCACTGCTTGTATTCTCGTGAGAAAATGGTTTGAAATTTTCCACTCCTGTTCACCGCAACACTGACGCAGGCTTTGCTTGAAATTTCAGTCTGTAGGTTGCAGAGTTCATCCCCTGCTTAGAGGATTGTGAAAGTCTGCATCTTCTTCGTGGCAACTGTCTTCAATTTTCTGCAGACTCCAAAAGACAAAGCTAAGCTGTCTTTGGTCAACATTTTTGAGGTACTCCTCCTAACACGCAAGCTGGACACATACTTTCAGAAGAACATGTTACCAAACACTAATACATTAAAAATCTGTTCCTGCGTATTGATTACAAACACTAGAACTCTAATAAATACAACTCAAACCTTTAGAAAAAAAACAGAAAAGACTGATGGGTAGTATCTGCTAATCTACTGCCATGTCTTCCTTGAATGCCAAACAGTTCTGTAGAGAAAACATCCCACAAAATGCTCTATATACAGGAATCAACAACACTCTGTCATGGAAGGTGACATGAAACTGGCATGCGACAGTGCGATACAGTTTAATAACTTTGTGTTGGCTACGGCATTTAAGTGCCACCCTCATCTACGACTCTTTGCGTCTTCAATTCCCCCATCTGGGGCTGTCCCTCTGGAGGACAACTGAACGGCAGAGTCACCCGCCCAGTTTCTGCTTCTCACTGTCCTTTGCACGCAAAGGGTCACTGTTCCTTCTTGCAGAGGACAAAGATCATCCCAGGAATTGGGGGCAGGTGAACCTTGCCTTCAAATGAAGCGACTGGGTTCAAGCAACAGCAAGGCAGTAAATCAGACTCCTTCTTCAGAGGAAACACAAAGTGAGGGTGTCCCACGGTGAAAGGAGAGGAAGCAAGGGAGCAGGAAGTGAGTATTGAAGAGGTGCATCCTTTTAAACTTTGCAATAAGGAAGCTTAATTCTCTAAACGAACGCAGAATGATTCTTACCTACGTAGATGTTCCAGAATTCCTCCTACAGGTCGGTGTGGGAAAAAGGGGAATAAAAGGAGACAAAAGGAGTTAGATGAGAATTACTGAATTCTTCAGAAAAATATTGGTGCTTTCATACAGAGGGTACTTGCAGCTAACAATTGTTAAAAAAAATACTTAAGTTGCAGACACACACAGTGCCTTGCAGCCTGCTATTACCATTTAATAAATTAAAACCATATGATCCATCTATAGTGCCCAACTCTACAGAAACAAGTCTCATGCATTTTTCAGAAATATCTAAAGGTCCTTAGAGATTTCCTAATGTGACTCACTCAGCATAAAGCACTTGATTTCTTGCATAACTGTATCTTTCCATCAGTTTTGACTGAATTTACTCACATTCCAGCAATGCCAAATTCTCAGTCTCCCTCCCCCTTTCCATCCCCCCAAGAATTAGGACCTCAGAAATCCTGAGATTAAAAAATATTTTGCCAGATTTGTCATCTTCTTTCCCTCAGCACTGAGGACTCCAGGTACGCTGTCTGTTCAAGACAGTCCTTTTCAGTGACATCTGGTCTCAGGCAGAACAGGCTGTGCTGGTTCTGCTATAGATCAGCCAACTTTTATGCTCTGAAGTACCCTGGTGATGCACCCATGACTCCCCATCCAGATCATGTCAGGGCCACTCAAAGAACATTCTGACCAGCAAGTAATGCTAAAGTGAAATGAATATGGCTTTAACTCCAGTTGCAGGGCTGTTCTTAACAGCCACACAGCTACAGCCGATGTTCCCACTGTGCCTCCACCACCAAGTCACTTTTTAAGTTTTCAAATATCACCTTTTCTACTCACCCTAGTCCCCATAGTTGCCTCATCTCTTTAACTCTCCCTTGAGTTTAGGAACAGATCACCTTTCTGTCTAAAGTTAAGCAGCCATCAGGGTAGGGAAGGTGACACATGAGTCACACATACAAACCCCATTCCATGTGGGCAATTTAGCACTAAGGCATGTAAGAACTGTCCACAGTACATATTCTGTCAGTGCAGATACTGAAAGAGACAGTCACAAAATGATAAGCACTGCAAAGCTGCTTGAGGTAAGTTCGGCAAAATTCTCCCATCAAGTTCCATGCCAGCATTTACCTTCTCAGCCTTCCCATGGACTCTCCACCTAAGAACTCTTGACCATAGTCATGACACTCAGCTATGCCACCCAGATAGGGTGAAAATATTTCTAACATGGGTAGTATCAAATCATTTGAAGGTCAAATACCTCACAGTGGCAACTGAACAGATCAGAACAGGTAAAAGAATGGAGGCTTTAACAGGAGCTGGCCTTGCAAGAGCTAAATTAAGGCTGTTATTGTATGTTGATGCCTTAACAATTCCAACCACAGTCAAAACCACTATTTATTCTTTGTGTTAAGTGATTGAGAATAACTTGTGAGTTTTGATGCCCAGCTCAAAAGACCTTAATACTATTTTGTAAACATAAAATATATAGATCTATGCTTCATATTAGTTCATCCTTACAGTTTTCTCCTGGTCTTCAAAGGCTTCTCTTGCTTCTTCTTTCGAGCAGCGCTCCTCATTGCATTCTCTTTCAATATTCCCTTTCTTAATTTCTTCCAAAAAAGAGTTAGCACGTTTTGCTCTTTCCAAGAACTTGTCAGCATTTTCTTTCTTGATGAATACTAGACAATAGAGAAAATGATACAGGTGGCAGGTAACATTTGGTGGTGGTAGAGTTATCAGAAATAAGTGAGGTAGAAACAAAACCAAAACAGACCCTTTCACGTCTCTACCCGTACACAATATTAACTGTGCGGTTAGTCCTTACACAGACTTAGACATCTCGGAATCTCTCAGAGCAGTCTCCGTGAATCATCAACTCCAGGACAAACTGTATGAGCACAAAATTCTCTCCTACTGCTTTTAGTCTTGAAAATAAGAACATGCAGGTTGCCGCTGAGGGCTAATATTTCTGTTGCTCCTGCTCAAGACTCCAGCCTTGGACAGAATGACTTTCCGTGAAGGCCAGGGAGATGGCATTCCTTGATTTGGTTTTAGAGCTGACCACCAGGCAATACCACCACCTGCTCCAGGGGCTTGTGATGCAGAAACTAGATGCCACACAAACTCAAGAAGCAGTAACGTATCTACTGACAGCTGGGAAAAGCTCATGTATGAGTTTTGCTGCCCTTCACCATCCCCAAATCCACTGCGCTGCCCTGGGGTCTTCCTTCCCTCTTAATACCACCTCCCAACTGCCTGTAGAGATGTTCCTGCCTTACTGATATGTGTGCAGGTAGAGGTAAGGCAGCTGTGTTCTAAGAGCAGTAGATGAACGTCAGCTTTAGCAGGGAAGTACAGCCTGAGGTCAGTTTGCTGGGTTGTTTTATTTTTTAAAAGCTTGGTGTCACAGAAGCGTAAGACCTGCTGCCTTCAAGATGCAGGTAGCCGTCGATTTAAACTGAAGGATCAGAGGCATTAAGCTCAGCTCAGCCACTTGGCTGCATGAACAATAGTGTTACTCTCCAGTGACTTGTGCACCCATTACCAGACAGGAAAAACAGAAACAACACTGGAGTAAATAAATTGCAAATTACCCTGTAAAAAGCAGATATTCTAGGAAAGTTTGCAGAGTTTGGAAGCTGGCATTTAACTATGTTCTAAACACCTGGATTGAAAGAGGAAAAAATACTTTCCAATCATAGAGGGTAATGTGGAAGACAGTGCTGCAGGTGGGACTTCAAGGCCAATGGCTTACGCTCAGTGGTTGCCTTGTACATATCTTCTAGAGCATTCTTCATGCAGGTCAATTCAGCAATAACCAAACTTGCTGATAGTAATCATATACCCTAATATCCTCTAAGCGAACACAGTGAGGACTTACTCTGCTTTCACCAAAACTGATATATCAGCCACAGGGAGCCAAATTCTGCCAGTGCTATTAATCGATCCCATAGAGCCCACACGTACTTTGCAGCCCTGCTTATTCTGAAAAGGCTCCTCACAAGGAAGCCTTACAGAAAGTGCTTGTGACTTCTAGCTCAGCAGCTGGTAGTTCATTCACCCCCTATCTTATTTGCCCTTAAATCCCTCTCTGCAGTGACAGCGAAGAGACAGGACGCAGCCGGTGGGGTTATCGCCTCCATATTCCTTTGCCTCCACATCACCCGCGTCAGAGGATGTTTTCATAAACTTGAACTAGCTGATTAGTCTTCTAAGGCTGGTCATTCTCTTTCCCAAGCCTTCCGTCATGCTTCTTCTTCAGAGACATCAAGGAGCAGCAGGCGTTGGTCAACTGAAGTAGTTGAACACTTCCACGTTCCAGAAACGTGTGGGAGACCTCATTTTAAAGCCTAAGCGGGCTGACTCACTGAAGGAAGAGTTAACAACTTTTGAAAAGCCACTTGCTGATTCTGCTCTGGACTTTGGTGTTGACCCTAGCGGCACAAACAGAGCGCGGCGGGATGTGCTCCTCGCCTATGCCCCAGCCCCTCCATGGCCAAGTGCAGCCAACCAAGCCTTGGCCAAGCTTCCCCTCATGTGACATGAGCACCTCACGGTTTGAGGCCAGATGTCCTCCTGGTGTGAACGGCTGTGAGGGCCAGCAACCCCATTTTATAAGGGGGAAACGGGGGAGGCACAGCGGCGTGGGAAAGGCCACCGCAGCGGGCTCAAGCACCCCGAG